AGGTGTGCTTCAGAGCCTGTCAGAGCTTGTCAAGAGTGAACCTGAACTGCAATTGAAGCTTCACCGTTTGGAGCTTTCTTCAGCGAAGGATCCATTGGAGGAGCAATCACAGGAAAGGCGGATCTCGACTTCCGTGATGAAGGAGAAACGGATGGACGGGGAGAAAGAGAATGATTCACCGCAAGCTCTGGAATTCGAGGCTATCGATAGAAGCGGAATGGCGACCACTTCAGCAGTGCTGTCTACATCTTGTCAACGATGCGATGAGACGGTGCATCGTAAGAGGGAGAGCACGGACAGCGGTCTCGACTGTTCCACTTTTCTATCTTCTGAGGCTGGCACATTTGTCCCTTCATTCACCCCTTCCACTTCCCCACTTGTTAAATCGCAGCCGTTCAAAAGATTCCGAAAATCTTCACCCGAGATATGGCGTCCATACCTTTGACCACTCCTACTATGTTTTTATTTGTTTTTCCCAATGAATTTTGGGATACTTGCTCACTTCCAAGCCTCCTACTCCAAACTCCATTAGGAACTATTGGTTCAGGCTTTCGGGCTTTCCAGTATGACTTTAATTTTTTCGGCATCCGATGTCCCTTGCGATTTGGTTTCATGAATCCGATTTAATGTTTCTAGCGATGGTGGGTGTGGAGGGTTTGCCATGATATTTTCATTTTCACATTACCGGGGACCCACTGTCATAATGCAGTTTTTGGAGTGGATCGGGTCAAACTGTACTTAAGAGAGGCGAATGGCGGATTGATGAGCTCGGCCATGATGCGCATAGACTCAAAGAGGGCTTGTAAAGGCACTCTAATTTAGTCATATGCTCTTTTGTGGACGGTGATGTCGGATACGCAGGGCTTGGGTGATCGATGGTGGCCAGTGTAACCAACGTCTACCGATTGATTTGCACTCACCCAGCTGCCAGATCGAGCACCAGGCAACTCACCTCAACGGTTTAGCTGATATCCTACCTTGCGGTCGATAAAGGGTCGGAATCCGCCTCCTTGCAATGC